AGAAAGAAGCTGTGTGAATGCACCACATACCTACAACAAAAGGTAAAAACAAATACCTAGAAGACAATTACAAGAAATGGCATAACCCTCCCCCCACCCAAGAAACTTCCCCACAAAATCTCAATTGCATTATCGTTATAACAGAACACTGCAAGCTTACGTGGAAAGGATGCGTTTTACTTACTTGTTTGAATTTTCATTTGAGAATATCGCCAGTCCTACAAGGAAGAGAAACCTGAGCTGAAACGGCAACGTTGAGCTGGATGCCTACTGATACTGCGAAAATTAGGAAAAGGAAGGTGGGAATGTCCTAACGGTGGTTTTCATTCACTAGTGTCACACGGGAATCCTAACAGCAACTGCCATGTCACTTCCCAGCTCCTTGACAGCTGGGCAGTAACTTTTTAGGGCTAAGCAGGAAGATGAGTCTGATTTGATTAAGCAGCAAATAAGACTGTGCAATAAGCAAGAACAGGTGAGCTAGTGACAAAAGTCTCCAACCATGCATACAGCGGTTAGTGGTTCAGCTACACTACACAAGCATTTGGAAGTAACTAGGTACAAAAGAGAACAGAAACACGGTTTTCACTACTTAGGTCCTTGTTTACATAACAAATCCTAAAAAGCACATTAAGACCTTGCACGGCCTAAGGTTTTGAAGAATACTTAAAGTGTTTTTGGAGCTGTTTCTGGACTTTTTCCTAGCTCTTTATGAAAACCGTCAACTGCCTTCCCCCCACCAAAGGCCCCCCTTTTTTTTTTCCTCCCCTTTAAATCTTAAGAATATCAGGAATACCAGCCCTTCATCTCCAATAGTCCCCTTACTCTTACATCATATCAACGACACGGCCTTGAACGTAAGCTACTATGACCTTCTTCTAGCTTGCTGTCCTTGGTTTTAAAAGCCCTGTGTTTGTAGCTGTGATTTTTAAAACATGAACAATTTTAAAACAGCCAAAAGCACAGGGCCCACCTGACTTTAGATTACTTACAGCATTAAAGGGTTGACAGTACTAAACATCAGTTTAAAAAAAAGTCTACCATAGCAAACAAAAGGCTCCAGCTGAGAATTCAAAACAGAACTACCCCCAGAGCTCACCAGCTGGCAAAAGGCTGGTTACAACTGCAGCAGGGACCTGGGGAGATCCTCTTGCTTTATCTGTTGGGAACAGCACTTACCAAACTGACTAACCGTAAAGCGCTGAACGCTCCGCCTGGCCTTCAGATACCACTCAGCCGGTGAATCAAACAGACTATTAAAGACAAACAAACAAAAACCCACAGAAGTATGGGGCAGGGGAAAGGAAATAAGAACTTTTGCAATACATTGATTTTTTTTTTCCACAAAGCTACTCTTTCTCATGTTTCAAGTGCAACACCTTTACCTTGGCCTTTTATTTTGTGGGAAAGCTGAATGCAAGCCTGTAAACTCCATATCAAGGCCTGTTGGGACACAATACAAAAAAAAACCCTGAAATACGAATTTCACCAGCCTCTGGACATGCGTCCCTGAAATCTATCTCCTCACTGTCACCTCTTTGTCAAACCCACCAATAGCAAGCTCAAAAGAAAAAACGGATTAGCTAGCGTGACAGTAAACACGCCCATCTCTTCCCTAATCCATTCAGCAAGACGAACAGAGAAAAGTATGCTTTTTAAGAGAAGCCTACCTCAAAATTTAGAGATCAATGTATTTGCTAATGCCTGAAAACATAGGCTTATACACAAACATGCCCACCCTTCTTATAACTAACATACTAAGTTCAAAAACCAGTGAGCCAAGACCAGCACCACAAAGAGGGGTTGCTTTCCAATAGACACCTCTGATACCCGTTTTAAAATCCCAGTGCATCTCAATGTTTGCTGTTCTCGTAGTAACTAACTGGTTTTCTCTACTTATACACAGGGGATACAAATTCCTAACATGGGACAGCTGACTTTAAAAAAAAAATTACACTTTGTGCTAACATTTGAATTAGATGCCTTTGTCGCTGTCTTCCACCACCAGAGAGCGTCTCTATTGTGAAAGACAGCGGCAGTATTACCAGAGCAGCTACAGCAAAGGAAGAAAGAGGTGGAAATAAGGCAGACGGACAGCCGGAAAGCCCTGGGCTGCTCCAGGTCATAACTGAGATGATAATACTCCCCTCAGAGGGGACTCCCCTCTCCCCTGTTCCCTCAGAGGGGCCTCCGCAAAGCAGGAGCTGCTCTCACACCTAACTGCTCTCCTTCCATACCTCTCATGTTCGCCTAAGGCTTTAAACCTGAAAAATAGCCTCACATCCGTGTAAGATGTAGTTATCTTTCATTAGCTAGGCGCAAATACATTTCTTAGCTCCACTTCCACATGATCTCTGGAAAGCAGATTTAGCCCTTCGTTTACACCTCCGAGAAAGCACCAGGACACAGCCGAGACACCGCATCTCCCCCCTCCCCCTTCGGGCCCGCGCCGGCCTGCGGCCCGGGGCCGAGACGACCCGCTGACAGCCAAGTCACGGCAGGGCAAGAAGCCTCGAGCTCGGGGGCCGAGCTAC